ATCCCCTTCATCCCCATAGTAACATCAGTTAGAGGATAAACATGAAATATGATTATATGATTGCATTTTAATACGATATGAAATAAGGCATGTCCAATCAATGGTTGTTTTTTAACAGAAAATATTTTCAATTAAAATGAGATATAATAGTCATTTACTTAGTCATTGTTGATTATTTTTTGAAAGCCTAGGTCTTTTTTTTCTTTTTTGAACAGAGCCTCATTCACGATCCCCAACAATTTTGGAAACATCTCCACGACTTATTCGAAAAGCACTAGAATTTATGGATTTAAATCAATATGTACGGTAAGTTTTAAGAAGCATGATTAATACAGACAACTATGTTTCTAAAATTTTGGCTATATGGCCAATTGGCAGTTGCTAAGCAACTGAAAATTTTAAATTGAATGCTTAATATATCCTCCATGTGTCCAAATTTTTAGAAGTACAAAATTTTACATCTCAAATTTAGCAAATATTTTATTAAATCAATCATAAAAGCATTAAAATGTTTTCTGTAAAGATTTAATTTGAAACCTGATTAAAGTGAGTTGAGCTACAGAAAATTTCCATCATACCTGCTGCCATTATTTAATGAGATTCAATTTTTTAATACATTAGATGACAGGATTAGTAGAGAGATAGCTACTCAAGCATATTTATAAGTTTGGAAACATTGTCAAAATTATTTAGCTGCACAATTCGAAAGGAAAACCTAAAAAACCCTCATATTTTTGAACATCAATTCTATAGTTACCTCACCTAATGGTGAATCCAAATTTACTGATATTCTACAAAATATTTCCCTAAAATATTAGTGACTCAGTAAATGGAGCACAGCACATCTAAAAAATAATCATTTATTCTATTCCTAAAGTTTGATTTGATTCAGACCACCACACTGTTGATGTGACTCTAAACTATTTGAATTCTGAAGTAAAGTCTATTCCAGAGTTCTCAAATGTTTCATGTCTCTCTTTTGATGATTCGATATCAAGGAAATCAGAAAAGGAACCTCTGCTGCAAACAGATGAACTGAATCAGCAGCAGGCAATGCAAAAGGCAGAAGAAGTTCATCAGTTTCGACAATATAGGACCAGAGTCCTCAGCATTAGAGACATTGACCAAGACGAACGGTTTAAGTTAAAGGATGAAATCCTAGATATGTATGGGGAAATGCGGGTGAGTCTAAAAGTACTTACATGGATCACAGTTGAAAAATTCTTTTGTAATATTAGAAAAGAAATCATAGAATCATATATATGTGTAGAAAGAAGTCTTGAAAACATTTTTTTCCACAATTCACAACTTCTGGGAAAACAATGAAAATTGATTATACACATCTCGTTTCACTTACTCCCTAAAAATCCCCCTGAAATGCAATATTGTGAATCTATCCACAAAGATGGGAAGAATAGGAGAGAAGACAACAACAAAATTATTTGTGAGGTTGGAAAATAGCTGGATGAAGACCACATTAACAGAGTTGATACAACCAAACCCTAAACCAGCACTGGGAATACTTGACAATCAAGCCCATTTGCTGGACACAATCCCTACAGAATCCCCACAAGCCTCAGCAGTTGGTGACACCAGGTATGTTAGGAAGTGAAAATGAAGTGGGAGGAAGATGACATAGGCTTGTTTGGTTTAAAGCTATTTAAGAATTACAGATCACCACCTCAACTTTTTGTAGCCAGGTGCATGTTACCCCTCCACCCCCACAGAAGAATGTGAGGTACTTTATTTAGACGTGGCCACAAAAGAAAAAAAAAA